AGAGAGAGAGAGAGAGAGAGAGAGAGAGAGAGAAAGTTAATGTGCTAGACTGCAAGGTCAATTTGAACCACAAGGTTGGTGGTTCAAACTCACTAGTCTCTCCTCGGAAACCCGATACAGGGTCACTGTGAGTCAGAATCTACTTGACGGCACTTAAAAACAACAATAAATATAGATAGATGTTGTGAGTGAGCTTGAATCACCGACCTTGCAGTTCAAATGGCTTTGCAGTCTGGCTCATTAACCCACAGCGCCACACCAGGACTCCATATAGACAGATTGATCGATCGATAGATGGAGAGATTTGTAAGGAGTCCTGGTATGGCACTGTAGGATAAAGCGTTGAATTGCCACGTCAGTTTGAGCTGCAAGATTGGCAGTTCAAATCTACAAGTTGCTCCTCAGAAACCCTATGCAGGGTAACTATGAGTCAGAGCCGGACTCAATGGCACTTGACAACAATAGATATGTAAACAATATGTATGTATATAAATGCATATAAGGAGCTCTGGTGGCATAGTGGTTATGAGTCAGGCTGCTAACCTCAAGGTCAACAGTTCGAAACTACCAGCTGTTCTGCAGGAGAAAGATAAGGCTTTCTGACCCCATGAAGATTTACAGCCTCAGAAACCTTATACAGGGTCACTGTGAACTGATTCGATAGTATCTAACAAGAACAACAGGGCTAAAAGGACAGGAAAAGAGAGTTTTTAACTTAAGGGTCACTGAATTTGTGTGAATGGTGGCAGAATGATTTGGAAAAGGACATCAACAATGGTTACACAGCTTGAAGAATGCAATCAATGTCACTGAATTGTACGTGTTAAAATGGGTGAATTAAGGTGTATGTTTTGTTATATATATTTTTACCACGATAAAATCTTTCAAAAGAAAAGAAAACTCTATGGGAATATAGGTCGGTTCTGACACACAGGATCACCGTGATTCTCAATTAACTAACTGGTCAGCGGCAACTGGTTTTTTAAGGACTTTCAGGACATTAGCATTTTCCCACCCTGTAATGTGGACAGCTGCTCCTTCATAGGGTTGTTATAAAAATAAATAATTGTGTAGATAAAACTCTGAACATCCCTGGCATCCTAAGTTGCTAATTCTCAACATCAAGTGAAATAGAAGAATCCACCACTCAGCGTTTCCACACATGTAGATTTTATTATAGCGATGATAAGGAAGGGTTGAGAAGGGCCTGGGAGAGAAGTTGAAGAGTGGGGGGGACCGATAGATGCCTTCTCAGCTGCTCTCTGGATTCATCTTCTCATGGCTCAGAGGGGTACCAGAGATCTTCTGCGTCCCACCATGCCGGTTGTCACTGACATTTACTACTCATGGCACCACTACGCCCCCTCATGTGTTACAGAGTAGAACTGGGCTCCCGAGGGTTTTCTTGGTGGTAATTTTTATAGAAGCAGTTCACCAGGCCTCTCTTCTACAGTCAGCTTGAAGCACCAACCTTGCAGTTAGCAACCAACAGATGTTATTCTTCAAAGGACCCAATTCATTGCCCTCCAACTTGGCAGTCCAGGGGAGAAAGAGAAGTTTTCTTTAGGGAGTAAGACTATCCAAGAGATGGAGGTCTTTGGAAGCCTGGCCTCAGATGGAGTCGAGTCACTAAAAAGCACAGCAGGGATCATTTCTAAGGAAGGGAAGAAAGAGGAGAGAAAAGTATTTGCGCATTTGTTTACATCATCACTCATTCCCCAAAGCCATGCTTCAACCCTGCAGGGCAGGACCTGTCCAAAGCCCATCTCCCACTGCCATCTCAGACCATGCTCCTCAGACTCAGCTCCACCTGCTTTGTTCTTCCACACCACCAGGTGGAGCCACCTACGCTTCCCTAAGCTGACTCCTCCTTAGAGGGGCCCCTCTGGCCACCCAGTGGAACAATAGTGCCCCCTCCAGTTCCTCTATGTCATAGCACCCTGTCCGGTTTTGATCCCAACACAAGCATCATTGTTTAGTTACTCTCCCAAACTCCACTAGGAGTAATGATGGTGAGTTCTGGGCACTGGAATCCCAGAGGTAGACCAAGCATAATTAGTGCTACCAAAGGGACACAGAATCTAATGCAGAGCTTGGAAAACTATAACCCATAGGCTAACCTCAGCATCTGCCTGAGTGTACAAATTAGTTATGTTTTGCTATCTTTTTGTTGTTGTTGTTTAATTAAAGTAAAACTTGCATAAGGATCCCTAATGGTGCAATAATTAAGCACTTGGATGCTTCAAAGATCAGCAGTTTGAAGCTAGCAGCTCCAAGGGAGAAAGACCTGGGAATCTGCTCTCATAAAGATTACAGCCTAGGAAACCCTATGGGACAGTTCTACTGTGCTACATGGGGTTCCTATGAGTCTGAATGGAATCAATGATGCCTAACAACAACATAGCATAAAAATTTAAATGTCTAAAACTGGATGGTGGTAATGGTTACACTACATTGTGATTGGTTTCATGTTCTGTGTCTTCTACCACAGTTTAATAAGAAAATTAATAAGTATTTATTGAGTGAGTGAATCAATGAATCCACCCAGCTCTCCATGCCCCTAGTGTTTGTCATTCTTGTCATTGTCTCTATCAGAGTGGCCTGAAATGAACTTGGGATTTATTAAACAATTCTGTGATTCTTTTAATGTTTTCTGAAGGCACCTGGAACCCCTACCTCAAGTGCTAGGCAGTTTCCCCAAATTGGGATGAGGTCTCTCCCCTGCCTCGTGCCCCAACATAACATACCTGATGTCAAGTTCTGAGTTACAGTAGTGGCAGTAACACTTGGGAGGTTGATGAAGATGTGAACCGAGAACAGAGAAATAAATGGTTGAGGTCAGACAGGTCCTCTTCTATTCCTCCCTTTGTCATCTTTCTTTCCTATGTTTCTACAACAACTCAGAAAAGAATCTCTCTTACATGTTTACAGGAAAGATGGAAAGAAGGAAGAAAGGAAGGAAAAAGAAGACAAGGGAGGGAGGGAGAGAGGGGAGAAAGAGAGTAAGGAGTAGAGGGAGGAAGAATTTGTTGATCAGAATTGGTCTCCTCTCTTTCTTGGACTTGCTTGCCACTTCAGATACTTCCTTCTTCCTGCCCTCTAAGGCTCCTTCTCTGTCTTCCGACTCCTTCCCTCCCTCCCTGTGGCCACCCTGGGCTGCCGGACCCTTACCCAGTCTCCTCTATTGTAGGACACAAACAGGAAGGTGGCCATTAAGTACATGCATCTCAGCGTGTTCCAACTGCCCTTTTTCTTCAGGAGAGTTTTCGTGGGAGGTTCAGTGTCTTTGTTCTCTTCCATCACTGTTGTCTTAACTGAGGGGAATCCAATGGAAATGGCTGAAAATGATGGCCTTCTCTCCCCACTCTCTAGCTCTCAGTCATTTGTGACTCTCCGTGCACAGAACAAGATCTTCCTCCCTTACTCCAAACCCACATCTCCACTTCCCTCCTGGAATGGGGTCTTCTCTTAAGTCTCCTACTCCCTACTTCCAAACCCAAACCAAACCTATTACCATCAGTCCACTCCTGGGAAACCCCATGAGTTTTGGAGTAGAACTGGAGCCATAGAGTTTTCAATGGCTGATTTTTCTGGACACAGATAGCCAGGCCTTTCTTCTGCAGCACCTCTGGGTGGATTCAAACTCCCAACTTTTTGGTTCGTAGCCAAGAGCAAACATTTGCACCACTCCTTTCTTGGTCTCCCATAATCCTTATTCTATTTGAGCACCAGAGGATCTTACTAACAACCGGATGTACTGTATTTGCACACAGATAGTACGCACCCTCTGTTTGCCAACTGCTCCTTCCCAGGACAAAGAGATATTTTATTTTTTAAAAAATTTTTGGGCATAGCGCTGCTTAAGAAAATACTTCCCAGGGGGAGGGAGTGGTTGGCAAACATGTGTTATTTACATAAAAATGCCGTAATCATGTTGTTTCCTTATTACAAACTTAAGGTGGTACGCAAATGTTTCAGGTTAAACAGCGTTCTTTTCCTCTTCTTTTTATTAAAGTTGCTATTAGCTGCCATTGAGTGAACCCCAGCTTGTGGCAGCCCTACGCACGGTGGAACCGGACCATTGTGATTCACAGCATTTTCAGTGACGGATTTTCAGAACTAGATCGCCAGTCCTTTCTTCCTACTGTCTTAGTGTAGAAATTCCACTGAAACTTGTACAGCATCACAGCAACACCCAGGCCTGCACTGACATCACCTAACAACAACAACAGTGTATAAAATGGTGCTGTAGGTTGATAAGCACTTGATCCCAAGTTTTGTTTGAACCACAAAGTCAGCAGTTCAAACCTGCCAGCAGCTCTTCAGAAATCCTATACAAGGTTGCTATAAGTCAGAATGGATTCAATAGCACTTAACAACAGTGTATAAGGGGGAGTCCTGGTGTGGTGCTGTAAGATAAGCACTGGACTGCTAACCATCAGGTTGGTGGTTCAAACCCCCAGCTACTCTTCAGAAACCCTATATAGGGTCGTTATGCTTTGGAATTTACTCCATGATTCTTAACAGCAACCGTATATAAAGGAACCCTGCTGGCACAGTGGGTTAAGCGTTGGGTTAACAAGTCAGTGGGTTAACAAGTCAGTAGTTTGAACCCACCAGTCACATCTCAGGAGGAAAAAAAAAAACAGCTAATCTATTCTTATAGTGATTATTGCTGTTATTGTTAAGTGTTGTTGTTGTTGTTAAGTGTTGTCAAGTCACATCCAACTCATAGCTACCCTGTATAAGGTTTCCAAGGAGCAGCTGGTGGGTTTGAACTGCCAACTTTGTGGTTCGCAGTCCAGTGCTGATCCTACAGCATTACCCCAGGACTCCATTGCTGTTAAGTGTGTTCCATCAATTCCAACTCATAAAGCCCTTGTACAGGGCTTCCGAAAAACGGCTGATGGGTTAGCAGTCCAATGTTGGTTTGCTAACACACCAAGGCTACAATGATTGTTGTTGTTTTTGTTGTGTGCCATCGAGTCGGTTCTGACTCATAACCACCCTGTATAGGGCTTCTGAGGAGAAGCAGGTGGGTTTGAACTGTCAACCTTGTGGTTCACAGTCTAGTTCTGACCTACAGTGCTACACCAGGATTTGTTGTTGCTGTTAAATGCTGTCGAGTAGGTTCTGACTCATAGAGACCCTGGATAGGGCTCCCTGGTGGGTTTGTACTGCCGACCTTGCTGTTCAAACCAATCTTGCAGTCTAGTACATTATCCTACAGCACCACAGCAGGATTGTTGTTGTTAAGTGCCGTCGAGTCGGATCCGACCCATAGCGACCCTATACAGTGTTTCCGAGGAGCAACTGGTGAGCTTGAACCGCCGACCTTGCAGTTCAAACGGCTTTGCAGTCTGGCGTATTAACCCACAGCGCCACACCAGGACTCCAGCCTTGGAACCTCTATGGAACAATTCTACTTGATGGAGTCAACTTGACAGAAACAGAATTGGTTTGGTTTGAACAGCATAGAAACATACTACATTTTTAAAACAAGAAGCGGTTGAAAAAGTGTTGAGTTTTCTTTGAGGTGCTCTGTTGGAGGAGAAAGAGGGTTTCATGGTCAACAGGAACAGCGACTAAGAAAGATAAAAATGTTCCCCATTCAAACCTCAGTATTTGGGATCTGCTTATACCAATGAGAGGGCTGAAAGGGGCAAGATGGCGAGAAGGCTGCTGACCTTCATGATTGGTAACCTGCAAGAAGACAGCCTCTCTGGTTCTGCAAATGTGGATTCTGCCTGAAATCTTCTTATTGGGTTGTGGTTAATAGTCATCGAGCCAATTCCAGCTCATGGTGACCCCCCATGTGTACACAGTAGAACTGGTGCTCCACAGGGTTTTCAAGGCTGTAATCTGGCAGCAGCAGATCACCAGGACTGATTTCTATGGTGTGTTCCAACCGCCAACCTTTTGACTATAGTCTAGCAATTAGCTGTTGGCACCAAGCTTTGGGATTCCAAAGACATGATACCTCGACCCAAGGAACTCGCTGCCTACCAGAATGGAAACAGCCAGAGAGGCACAATTCCGTGGACCTACCTTCTTCCTTACAGTCATTTGTTTCTTCTAAAAATAAATAGACAAAGAAACAAAAGAAACTATCAGTGAATGAGACCAAAATGTAAATAGTACCATGGGGTGCCTCAGATGAGGGGAGAAGCAATGTATCTGACGCCTTCTTTTCCCTTGAACGCTCACATTCTCCTGCCTCTGAGCCTTCATGAATGCTGTTCCCACTGTCTGAAATGCTGTTCCCCTAGAGATCCTCACGAGTGGTTCCCTATGATGCCTCATTTCATGATTCAACTTGGCTACGGTATGATTCTCATACAACAGCCTCAGGCTATAATTGTCGGTGGGTTGGTAGATCCTGGACTGGGTGCTGCTCCATAATGCAATGTCATGTAAGGTAACGTGTTGTTGCTGAGTGCTGCTGAGTTGATTCTGAGGAGCAGCTGGTGGGTTTCAGCTGCCGACCATGTAGCAGGCAGGTTAGTGCTGGTGTAATACAATGCAATCACTTTCCTTGATGTAATGAACCAATCAGTTGAAAGAAGAGTTTCCTTGAGGGTGGGGCCTGCCTCTTGGATATAAATGGATGTCCTGGCAGAGTTAGTTTGCTCGCTGTCTCTCTCTGTCTCCCTCTCTGCCTCTCTCTCTGTCTCTCTCTGTCTCTCTCTCTCTCTCTCTCTCTCTCTCTCTCTCTCTCTCTCTCTTATATTGTTGTTAAGTGTCATGGAGTTGATACTGGCTCTTAGAGACTCTGTATAGGGTTTCTGAGGCTGTAAATCTTTGCAGGAGTAGAAAGCCTCATCTTTCTCCCTTAGATTGTCTAGGGGGCTCCAACAGC